ACAGTAGTCCATGAGGTGATGATGCTGCAGAAATTTTATTATTTTTTTCTTTGCAAGATGTTTCTTACTAATCTTTTATTTTCTGTTGCAGCTTTCATCAAATGGTGACCGAGTAAGTGAAAAATAAAAACATGCAGCTTCCCTACTACTTTCTTTTTATCATGATTGGTGGAAGCTTTATCTTGTATGACTAGTGTTCGAAGATAATCTGTATAGGAATCTGAAATGGTATCACCTAATGAATCTGATAAAGAGCTGAGCAGATCCCAAAACGAGAGGCAGCGGGTCAGTTGGTTATTATAACATGAATCATCTCCATTTATGATTTATCTGATATCCAAGGAATCTCTCTGATAAACGGTTCTTGTGGCATGGACTACTGGTTGTGTCTCTGAGCTAAGAGGAACCATTCCCTCCCTCATCCCTAAATAGTAGTTCCTAGGAACATCAACTAAAGGTTTATTTAGGAGAGAACAGTAGTTTCACAGAGTTTTATCTGTAACACACGACAGTTAAAAACTTAATTTTGATCTGGAGCAGTGTGCTTTTATTTTCTTAAATATACTCTGAACTGGTGGTAAAAGTAGTAGTAAAGAAAACAGAAAAAACGAAACAAATCGTTATTTTATTGAAACCTTTCTAAATAATAACCTGAAATACTAACTTTCAACTAGAAATTCTACTTGCTACAAATATTATATGACAAATTTTCATTGGAACTTGTACATTCAGTGGTTCTGAGCTTGCACAAAGAACTATCTAGTTTGTTTTCCATCAACTCCGAATGGAGAAGTCTTTTAATGATTACTCAGAGACAGAGGGATAAGAATGCAAATCATACCATGAACCCACATACCACACTTGGTGTGTGCTCTTAAGGAAATGTCTGTCACAGATGAGGATTGTCACAGTAATGTTTATCACATTTGTCATTAGAACTCATTAATGGAACTAAATGTGCACCAATTGTAGGATGCTAGGGATCAGTGTATACCAACTGGAAATGGAATGATATATTATCATATGGAAAATGATTACCATATTACCAATAACTTCACAAATGAGAAAAATGATGCTTTGAGCCCTTCATCTTTTTTATAGATGAATAGTGCATAGACCTATGGACTTATTTCATGTTTTATACCACTGTCTCAGGAGAATGTTGATATTATTATTAGATGCGCATCTGGATATCTTGGCTTCAGTGAAGGAAAACCAGTTGCAGCATTTACAATATACAAATGCCTTCTTCATTGGAAATCCTTTGAAGCAGAGAAAACTAATGTATTTGACCGCCTTATCCAGATGATTGGTGCTGCTATAGAGGTGATTGACCATATCTTAGACCCATCATGGAGGCTCACAACTAGTAATTTTAAGTGTTTCCTGTCTTAGAATTTTCAGTTAGTTTAAGTGTTTAAGTCCTAAAGTGTATTAACCTTGGGAAATAAGAAATTCGTGTAAGTTCTTACGTCTTAACAAGAAGCCACCTCCAAAAAAATTGCAGTTACAACATAAATATGCTTTGTAATACACGTTTTTTCCTAACATCATTGACAGGATGAGTCAGACAATGATCACATAGCATATTGGCTGTCAAACACATCTATGCTGTTGTTTCTGCTTCAACAGACACTAAAGGCTACTGCTTCAACTCCTCTCCAACCTTCCCAACCAACATCCTTTTTTGGAAGGGTGTTTAGGTCATCATTTACTTCATCCAGCCTTTCAATTCGGGGGCTTGATAGCATCCGGCTTGTTGAAGCAAAGTATCCTGCTTTGCTATTCAAGCAACAGCTCACTGCCTATGTAGAGAAGATCTACGGAATCCTTAGAGATAACATGAAAAGGGACCTTTCACAACTACTTTCTTCATGTATCCAGGTATTAACTATCTTGTCTAATTCTTGGCTGTTTGGTATCACTTCATTAGGTTTTTGTAGGAACAAAAGAGAACTATAGTGGAATTCTTGCTAATTGAAGAGGTAGTTTTAGACTAATGCAATAGTTATAATAAAAAAAGTTATATCAGATTATTAGTTAAATATATGATCAAGTCAAACTTCAAGTACTCCACATAAGGACCACGTTTTTCAACTCTTTCTTCTAGTACTGCAGTTCTGGTAACTCCTATACTTTTAAATTTGTCAAACCCTGACCAAGTTGACCAGTTAGATACTTAGACCTTTGGTTAGAATATCAGGCTACCGTTTATCAGTTTTGTAATGCTCGTTAGTGGCTTCCCTCTCCTTCTGGACTTCTCAAGCACGATATTCATCTTGATTCTCGAAATGCTTGGTCCTTTATTAATAAAGTCAAACAGTAACTCATAAATTAATTTAGGTATGCAAGACTAGAATTGAGTAAACAGAGTCCTGTATTAATTTAATAAAGTACTAAAGTGATAAATTAATTTAGGTATCTAAGATCTAAATAGGTAGAACATAGTAGAGAAAAAGAGTAAAGTCACAAATTATAGTAATAAACTAATAATATACTCCACAATGAATAAAAACTAAAAGCATTATATTAATGAACAAAGTATTATACTAGAATGTCACGAAAATACAAAGTGGCAAGTACTTGCCAGTTGCCATGATGTTTATATTAAGAGTTTAAGAGTTTATTTACTAGCTCTGGCTCTTTCAGAACCCAAACTGCATTATATTCACTCTTAAATCTTTGAGAATCAAAAGTGCTATAATAATCATCAGTTTTGCTATACCGTTTTATTGAGGCTTACTTTGGCAATAGAAAGCTTTCTTGAAAAAGTACTTGGTGTAAGCGATCATATGCCGGCCAAATATAATACTAGGCTATTCCTCCTATCATAATGAGCTTTTCGGATGAAGCCCCAAATCTAGTGTCGTCTTTATGCAACTTTTCTCAAATACCTGTCATATTTCTACTCATATTTAGGTTCCTCAAACAAATGAAAACTCTCCAACCAGTCCATGGCAAAGCATCACTGGGAGTCTTAATGGGCTTCTTAATGCACTGAAAGGAAATTATGTATGTACATCCAACTCAAACATTGTCTGTTCCATTGATGCATATATTTACAAACATTTAATGCTAGTGTTATGTTGTACATATGTATCAGGTGTTTCCCTTTCTAATCCAGAATATTTTTGCGCAAGTTTTCTCACACATGGATGTACAGTTATTTAACAGGTAATCTCCATATCTTCACTTCCCATTCTATATTGGAATAGTTATATCAATAAAGTCAACAGTTCTAACATAAATTGTTGATGTATTGCCCCAGCCTCCTTAGCAAAGACGACTGCTTTAATTTAAAAAATGGGGAATATATCAAAAGCGGGTTGGATGAACTAGAAAGTTGGTGTGAACAGGCAACTAAAGAGGTACTCTATTTGACTATATCAGGATACCTTAGCACGTATGTGATGTCTTGACAACATAACATTCATCGGTGAAGTCAGGGCTCCACAAAATTCAAAATTTGGGTTGGCTGGAAAAATGATTCATTCTTATAAACCATTTTATATAGAAAAAAGGGTTTTTACCGACCTTTGAGATGGGACGTGAATCTGTTTTGCCACACATAGCTAAACTTTGCCAATGTTTGCGTCGTAACAGCATCTTAATTTGTAAAGCAGTAATGACGCATACTTTGTTGCAGTATGTGGGTTCCTCTTGGGATGAATTGAAGCATGTAAGGCAGGCTGTAGGATTCTTGGTATGTATGTTTTTACTTTTCATAAAAAGCGTAGTTTCTGCCAAGAGATAACTTTCTAACTGCTGTTGGGCGGTCATAAACTGATTTATAATTTTATTGGCAGGTTCTGCAGGACAAGGCGAAAGTTTCCTACAATGACCTGACAACTGACTTGTGCCCAGTAAGATCTTCTATAAGTTCTGAACTTTTTGTATTTCTTTTTCATTGTTCGGGGGTTTGGGACCTCATATATCATGAATTTGTGCTGAACAACTGATTCCATTTGTGGCAAGTTAGTTGCCTTTCCTGTTTAAATGACTGCCAGAATCAGGTCCCATGTGTAGGACATGTTAGATGTGGATGTCATTTGCTTCATATGAGTCTTATTTTTCTCCACATAAAGTAGTGGTCTAACGTAGATGATGACACTGATTTAAGGGCATAATAACTGACACTGTTTTAAAAAAGATAGATTGAGCACAATCTACTGGTGCAGTTTATCAGTGGGTGTAGTACATAGTATATTTCCATGCACAACCTTGAGCATTGACAGTTCGTTTGCATTAACATCTCATGTTTGCAGATTCTGAGTAGCCATCAGCTGTATAGAATATGTACGCATTGCTCAGATGAGAAAAATATTGAAAGTGTGTCCCCAGATGTGAGTTAATTCCCCCCTTTTTGTTTCTCTTAATTATTTATAAAATAAGTGAAAAACATGTGATATAAAACTTGTAATGGAATCCAAAATCTTGACAACTGAACATGACATGCACTTAGGGAGTAAAATAAGCATTGCAGCATTGAGGGCTTCATGAGAAGCACATGTAGTCCTATAACTTGTATGACATGTGGAAAATGAAGATATTGGCGGATATTACATATTGGTTGTTACCATATCATCACTCAAGTGCCTTGTTGCATTGTGTAGGTAATTTCAAACATCAAGGTACTATTAGTATCAGAAGGTTCGCAAGACACCAGCAGTAAATCTTATTTGTTGGATGAGAATTTGAGGTATTATATTAAATGAAACAAGTATTCCACGAGAAAAGAGTCTTTTACTTTAACTCTTATTGTTACTTTGCCATTTTTTTCACATGCAGCATCCCCTTCTCAGCTGATGGCCTTAAGATTTCCCTCAAGGATATTGATTTTATTGGGGTAAAACCTGCTGAAGAACTCCTTGAGAATCCGTCCTTTGAATTTCTACGTGAATAATTATAGTAGCGCTTTTCTTAGTAAATATTATCAAAAGACCAGCCAAAGGTTTTCCATATATGCGTATGCATAATTGTATATAAACAGCCCACCTATGGTTTTCATTTCATATGTAAAGTTGTAAGTCTAGTAGGATGCATACATTTTTTTACATACACACACAATACCATAGACAGCCTTGAAGTGCTTGTGTAACACTGTACAAAGCACAAACAAACTTATCTCAGCAGCAAAGCATGGGAATAGAAACTTCTTGTCCTTTTTAACAATAACAAAGCAACAAGAAAACCAAAGAAAGTAACAGAAGCCAATATAAAATACGACAGCATGAAACAACTAGTCCCGTAGCATGAATGGCCCGTTCCAGAAGCCTCTTTATCATACACATGCCCGATCACTCTAACGGAGAGCAAGTATGATCCAATGGGACTGGCTATAGCAATTGTATTGAATAATGTCCCCATATGCAGAACGCCAAATATCTCCTTAGTTATGGTGGGCATCAATGACCACTGTGAGCCATAACAAATCCCAACTAGTAGGGACCCCACATATAAATTTCCTGGGAAGCCAGATGCAATAATGACATGGCCAGCTGACATGGCTGCCAGGGTGAGAGCAATGAACAACGGCCTCGGCCAACCTTTTCTGAGCAGTAAAATGTCTGATACATATCCAGCCCCAAGACGGCCTAAAAAGTTCCAAATACTCCACAGAGAAACTAAGGTACTTCTCTGTGATGTCGTGTAACCTAGTGATTCCCCTATCTGGCTGAGGTTATTTATTGTGGCGAGTCCTGACCCCATCCCACATGCCATTGCAACAAACAACAGCCAAAAGTTGAGGGTGGAAATGGCTTTTAATAGGTTCATTTCTTCCACTGCACATGGAATAATAGAGTGGCCGCCCTTAAAGTTGTCTCCTTGTTCAGCAATGGAGTCATTTAACAACGGCCTTGTTGCATGTGCGGGGCTGAATAAGCTTGCTTGTTGGGGTTTGATTGCAATACCCAAAGGCAAGAAGAGTAGAACAACTAGCACTAGGAATGCAATGATTTGTGCCCTTTGCGAAAACAGAAAGCTGTCCTCCATGACTCTTAGCAACAATAGATATGTTGCAATAAGCAACGAGATAATCAAGAAATTGTTCAAATGTTTCTCATCAGTCCAAGGGGGCGACGTTTGGTGGACTTTGACTAAGCACATGAGCACAAGGCTGATTAGGGTTGGCGATAATGCAAGCATCAATATCAATGCACTTGGGTTATTGTTGAATAACGTTTGATACACTTGTATTAGTATTGCTCCACTCAATCCCAGAAAGCCCTTCATTATTCCTACGACTGTGCCACCATTGCAGGGGAAATTCCGAACTGCTGTGACAACATTTGCCGTATTGAAAAAAGTCTGGGAATGAGCGGCGATAAACATGAAGAGGCACATAATCGCCACCGGCGGCGGCCGAGGAATAACCCCGACGACGGCAAGCCAGATGAAGAAGTACCCAACGAAACACTGGACAGATCCGGCGAGGTGGACCAGCCACGGGCCTCTGCGAGGAGAGCTGGAATTGGAGACTGCGGAGTAGAGAAGTCCGGAGAGGATGCCGGCGTTAGCGCCGATGTCCTTGAAGACGGAAACAGTGTCGAGGGTGGATTGGTCATAGGCCTGGGAGGATTTGAGAAGTGGGGAGTAGATACCGAAGGCGTAGGATCCGCCGCAGCTGGCCTGGATCCACACGCTCGCCGCTGTGGCTATCCATTTACTACGGCTCCAGCCTAGCCTCTCCATCACGTGAAGCGTTAGTCTCGTAGTACTACCGCTACGTCTATTATACGGAGCCCATTCTTACTAAAAGTAATCCTCTGATAATCTTGTCCTTTTAATTATTAAGAAGTAAAATTGATGTTGTATTCTCGTATGGTGTTTTCATAGACAACAATTCTTGGTGTTTTTCTAAACAACGATTCTTAGTGTACATCTTCTTATACACATTAATACATCCCATGTTTGTGAGAGTTTTTTTGTCTGTGAATCGGGTTCACAGACAAAAATTGATTTGTTTTGTCTGTGAAAAATTCTATAGACAAAACAAGCCAATTTTTATCTATAGACTGTGATTCACAGTCAAAAAAATCTCACAGACACAGGGTGTGCTGATATGTATAAGAAGGTGTACAAAAGGAATTTTTGTTTCACAGATGACAAGGTCTGCACGTATCAATTTTAGATTCACTCTCATCCAATAATATACTCCCTCCATCTCTTGAAACTTTGTCATCTTTCCTTTTTGGGATGTCCTAAAAAACTTTATAATCTTCCCTTTTAATCAATTACTTTGTGGTTTCTGTTACTTCTCTCATCTACACAAACCTCAACCACACAGTTTTTACTTTATTATTCTTCGTGCCGGGCAACTTTGGCAAAGTTTTAAGGGACGGGGTAGTAGCTAAAATGATCATCTACAATAACATCAGCCAATAAAGGTACAAAAAATTAACTCCAACCTTACTTTTTCCTATTACCGAGTATTACACAATTTAGAGTCTGTTTGTCCGAGAGAAAGAAGAGCGCCTAAGTAATGAATTTGGAGAAGCGCTGGCCTTTGGAATGGAGCAGACCACCGCCTTGTGACTTGTGAGCTGCAAAAAACCCATTAAAGATTAATAGAATAATAGCTGAAATGTCGAAATGTCGAAATGTGGAAACGCAATAGGCGGGAAGAAGATGGGGGAAGGTGTCGTGTGATATATAGGCATATACTCCGTATTTAGGAGGAAGATGAATACAGGGAGTTGGATATGTGGTAGACGAAGGATAGAAGGCATATATGACTGGCTTATTCTTTATCACATTATAACTATCCTTAAAGTTCCAGTTAATTACAAAAAAACATAGACGATAAAAGCTCTTCAACCTCTATCTTTTAGCTTTTAAGTATTTAATTTAAACAGAAGAAAACATTTGAAAGTACCAATTTTAACTTTTTTTAAGTTAAAATCAAAGCTGAAAAACACTTATTTTAATCCTTTACAAACACTCCCCTAAAACGTTTTGTCACCACGAAAAAGTGCAATCATATAATAGTACATCGCATTCAGCAAAAAGTGTACCAGTTCGCATTATGCATGTGAATGTGTCTTTATATTTGAAATCTCCCCTATAAGACTATCTGTGGTGAGGTGAAAATCCTATTTGAAGTTTTCACTCCAAATTAGCTACCACCCAAAACAAAAATAGTACATAAAGATGTTAAAGTAGATTGTATAGTACATAAAGATGTTAAAGTAGGTTGGGGGAACCTTTGGGGTTTGTATTAAGAGGTTGCATTCACCCGGAGGGAGGGAGAGACGAATGGAGTTGTGTTTGTTGAGAGTAGGTAAGCAAAAAATAGTTGTCCCCACATAAAATAAAAATCTCAATTTTCTTTAAAGCAGTACTCCCCCCGTTCCATAGAAAAGTTTCCACTTTTTCTGGATGTCCCACATAAAGGTTCACATTTTCATTGTAGAAAATAATTAACAATCTTAAATGACAAATTATTCATTAAATATTAAAAATAATATATTTATAATATCACAGTTATCAGCACCAACCCCATTATATTATATACATATTAAAATATTTCTCAAAATATACTCGAAATATCTTATTTAATTATTTTCTAAAGGAAAAAGATGCAAATAAGCCCTCGAACTAACCGAAAAAGTGCAAATCACCCCTTTTATAGGAGGCTCTGTCCGGCCGTCGCTATTTGGGATGGTTACCGGTGAAATTTTTTGATGAATTTTTTTGAGCATCTTCTTCATTAAGTCTAGTTTGTCCATACCAAATTTCAGCTAAAAATTCAATCGGGAAGGCAGTCAAATTATTTTCTGAAATATACTGTGTTGTTTAACTACGCAGTTATCTTCAAACATTTATTTGACCGCCTTCCTGATAGCTTTTTTAGCTGAATTTTGGTATGAGTAAATTAGATTTAATGAAGAAGATGATCAAAAAAATTCATCAAAAACTTTCACCGGAAACTGCCCCAAATGGTGATGGTCGGACAAAGCCTCCTATAAAAGGGTTGATTTGCACTTATTCAGTTAGCTCGAGGACTTATTTGCCTCTTTTCCCTTTTCTAAATAACCGTACCACTTTGCCATGAAACCTTTCAACGGCACGAAATAGTATAACTTTCATTGCCATCTTCATCGAAAACACATCTCATCAAATTCCGGGATCGCAGAAACTTCAATTGTCACCAGGCATATAATGAATTTCTAATGTAGTATTTGTAATTCAATTTAATTAATACTCATTTCCCTGGCTTTGATCTCCATCATTTCTACCAGCAGTTCAACCTCATTTCCAAATGAGTTGCTATGGAGTCGGCTGTCTATGAATAACTGTCCACACAACTTTTATTTTGACTGCTTTAAATAAGATTATCATTTATAAAAAGGTTAAATTTAGTTTACATCTACCAAGTGTTTATTAAAATACATCAATGATTATTGATAAATGATACTCCGTATATAATTGCTTCATTGAGGAGTAGAGACGTAGAGTGTATTGAATAATATAAAATTTGTTATAGTGCCAAGCAACTATCATAGAACGTTTCATAATTCATACATTCAATAACTTATACTCCCTCCGTCCCCTTTTAAATATCCCAGAAGAGGGTGACATGAGTTTTAAGAAAAGTAGGTTTGTGTGATTTAGTGGTGGACTCGGGCCGGGTCGGACCCGGGCCGAGCCTAGGCCCGGTCGGGCCGCTGGTTTGTATGATATGCGCTCGGGACCGGCCCGAGGGTTGGACGGGTCCGGTTCGGGCCGGGCCACCCGCCCGGGTCACGGATCGGGCCACCCGCCAGGTCGGGCCGGGCCTATTAAAGAATTTTTTTTATAATCTATATTTTATAGTTTATAGTTTTATACAAGTATTAAAAACGAACTTCAAGTGCATTTATTTGAAATGAAATAGGAACCACATTTGAAAATTAAAACAAACTTCAAGAGACAAACATTTTGTAAATTGTAATTAATCGGAACTTCCCGCACCTCTCGATCCTTTGGCTTTGTCACATGACTTCATATGCTTCATTGTCATCCTGTATCCGCCTGAAACCCCCATGCTACATTTTTTCCCGCACCATTTACAAGTTGCGTACCACATCCCGATCTTCGGGTCCTTCTGCTTATCAAAATTATACCGTATAACGGCATCTTGATTTTCCATCTTAAATATAAAGTAGATATATAAATAATAAATTAGTAAAGAATAGAGATTAGAAATATTTGGAGAAGATGTGTAGTAAATTGTATAGAAAAAATGGAGTATTTAGAGTTTTTTTGTACCCCTACCCCCACCCCCCACCCCCACCCCCACCCCCCCCAACCCACCCCTGGACCCCAGGAAGGCTCCCAACGACTATATAGCCATTTGGGTTCAATCACAACGGCTCTAAGGGCCTGTTTGGTAACCAAAAGATTTTTTTTTTAAATATAGCCGTTGGCCCGAACCGGGCCCGAACCGGTCGGGCCGGGCCTTCCTTTTTGTGAACCGTGCCCGAACCGCTAGCCTCCCCCGGGCCGGGTAAAAGCCCGCACCGCCCATTCTGTAACCGAGCCGGGCCGGGCCCGCACAGTGGCAGGCCGGGCCGGTTCAGGGCCGGGCTGACCCGGTTTGGTCCATCCCTAGTGTGTAGGGATGGACTCGGGCCGGGTGGCCCGACCCGGGACCGGCACTGTTCAGGCCCGGCCCGACCCGATGGCCCGGTCAGTGACCGGTCCGGGTAGGCCCAGCCCATGGGTTTTCCGGTCCGGGCTCGGGTCACCCAAAACAAGGCCCGACCCGGCCAGGCCCGGGCCCGGTTCGGGCCAAAAACTATTTTTTTTTTCAATTTTTTTAAATTTTCAGGTTGGGTATTTTGGGCAATTTGGGGTGGTTTGGGGGGGGTGGGGGTGGGAGGGGGGTTAATTAGGAAGAGGAAAACAAAAAAAAATATAATGAACCCGGTCCGGGCCGGTCCCGGGTCCACCATTTCTGACCCGCCGGCCCGCCCGGGCCTAGGCCCGACCGGGACCCAGCCCGGACCCGAGTCCATCCATACTAATGTGGTTGATATTACTCCCTCCGTTCCCAAAAATACTTCCCACTTTCCTTTTTGGGTTGTTCCCAAAAATACTTCCCACTTTCCGCTTTTGGACAATTTGTGTGGCTCACATTCATTTTACTTTTTTCTTACACGACCACAACCATACATTTCCACTTTATTCCACTTTCTTAATAAACGTGCCAAGTCAAACCGGGAAGAATTTTTAGGAACGGAGGGAGTAATAGATAAAGTAAGAATAAAGTAAGAATGATTTTGAGGCACACAAACTTTACCAAATAAGGTATGAGACAATTAAATAGGGACATCCCAATATGGTAAAATGAGACATTTAAAAGGGGACGGAGGGAGTACTATGGATGGACTCGGGCCAGGTGGCCCGGACCGGACCGGACCCGGTGGTTACCCGGGCCGGTCCCGGGTCCACCACTCCTGCACCGCCGGGCCGCCCGGGCCTAGGCCCGACCCGGACCCGGCCCGAACCCGAGTCCACCCCTGTCTTATACCAATCGGGTAAACAAGATTAATGCCAAGCAAACTTAAATAAGAAACATTCAACTAAGACTAAAGGCATTTAGACTTCATGTAAAACTTATTATTAGAATATTGTAACTAAGCTTGTTGCCAACTTGCCATATTATATACTAGATCAAAAATAGAAACTCAAGAAAGAGGTCCTAATCTACCACTCTACCCGAGAGGTGTAAACAAAAATAGAGAATACATGCAACTATTACTATTACTACAGTTATTATTAGCTAACAGAAGAAACTCATTACGCACTAACTAGTAATAAAAATGTATAACTAATTAATGAACGCTCTTTCTTCAGAGAATGAGCTCTTTCTCATATGTGAACACACCAACTCCTGTTTTTTGTCTGCAATTAGCATCTAGTAGAACTTCATTGCCAGGTCAGTGTCATCTTCAATTACTGCACAAACTGGAAGATGTTAGGGGTAAAACTGGAAGAACATGGGATGGTCACCAACAAATATTCTGAAGCCTTCACAAAATTGCTGCCCATCCCTGCATGATAATGGCCGAAGCCAATATCATTCCTGCACAGCAGCTTGGATAAAGGATAGTATGAAGCTTGGAATTTGGCATCCCCCACCCCCCACCCCCCCATTTAATCCAATAGATTGACTTTTTATCCCATGTAATATTTCCATGACTCTACGGTCCACGCAACAGGTGGGGATAAACATGAGGTCCAATATCTAACAACAAAGATATTTAGTATTTACACCTCACATTTATCCCAATATTTGACTTTGCACCCCACTGAGGTGCAAAGAAAAATGTTAAGCTAAATATGGGGTGCAAATGCCAAACTTTCATTTTTCTTACAATTACTAGCCTTCTCACGCACCATGCGCGAGGGTTGATGCCCAAAATAAGTATCTTAACATATGGATCGGAAAAACTTTTAGGCAAGGACATTTTTTGGGGAGTAAAGTAACAAAAAGAAACACTGATGAATATAGAAAGGGTGAAGTTGTCAAGTTACTAAACATATTTTTTACGCTATTAAAATGGATTGAAGAAGAAACATAGAAATATTGTAGATGTACAAAAGAGGCAGGGAGAATGCATCATAGAAAAGAACATTGGACAAAAACATTACAATTCTTGACAAAGAAGATTCCATACAAAAAGAGTTGTTTGTAGGCCATAAAGATTTCAACATAATTTTAAGTAGTGATTATCGGATAAGAAAGTAGAGCCATGTTAGTGTTTCCCCCCAAGTAATTATAAGTAAACCTGAAATCCATATCAAAACATATTTGGAGTAATAACATTTTTGGCCTATGCAAGCAAGCAAAAAACAACACCACACGAGGGTTACTGGGCAGCATCTTTTTCTGGCTTTTCCCTTCTTCCTTTTTCGCATAGATGCGGTCATGGTTTCATTACCAGAAGACTCTCCAGCAGGTGTAGAATCTGTGGGTGATTCCATAGTTGTTACGGCGGGGTTTCGCGGCGCAGCGCCTTTGGACTGCCATACCGTCATGGCGATATGGCGCCCGTCGTGGCGGCATCGTGGCGATAAGTCGACATAGGTACACTAATAAATTCATAATATGTTTTACATACTAAAATGCCTACATGGAACACTTATAGCCAACACATTAAAGTAGTAAAACATGTAATCATAGAAACAACATAAGACCATAACCATAAGTCTATAGTTCATCAAAACAATCACAAGCATTATCCATAATCCAAAAACTAGAAAATAGAAATAACATAATCCAACATAAAAATACTTAAACATCACCAATAAAATTGTCAAATATTTCACTTAAATACTTCAACACCCCAATAAAGTTATTAAATATAACATATAAAAAACAACTGAAATTTCACTATTATATGGGGAAAACTGATTTTTTTTTCCTCCAGAAAATTGAAACAATTGAAACTTTTCTTAAAATAGTAATAACTACAATCTTTTCAAAAAGTTTCTGTACAACACTACAGCATTGCACAGTTCAACACTAAAACATTAAAATATTAAATAGAATGATTTTTAAAAAATTAATTAATACAGCCTACTGGAGCAATGAAATAAAGAAATACAAAACGTTAAAATATAAAATAGAAATAATACAAAGCAATTGATTAATACAGGCTACTGGAGCAACAAAAAAAAAGAAATACAAAACGTAGACAGTACATAGTAGAAGATAATTCTGGAGCACAAAAACAAGTAAAGTCTAAAGCATCTATGGTCTATAGTAAACCAATGACTATCCCAAATCTGAAGCAAAATAAATACTGAAGTAACTAAAACAAATGCAAAGCAAATACTGAAGCAAAATAAAATAAATACTTAAGTAACTGAAGCAAAAATGAACCGATGCCTATTTGCAAAATCCAAAGCAAATAAAACGAATAGTCTATCCCAAAAATGAGAGGACCTACGGGCTACAGAAATACCTGGCGGAAGAAGATGTTCTAGCCTTCGAGCCTACGGAAATACCTGGCGGGAGAAGATGTTCGAGCCTTGATGGGTTATCGCTAATCACTTATCAAATTACTGGGTTTGGGTCTGGGTTTGGGCTTGGGCCTGTTCGTAATTATTGGATTTGGGTCACGCCTGTTGACTTATGGCGTGTCGAGGCTCCATGGCGACCTGCCCAGAGCGCCGCGACGCCAAGGTGACGATGCAGCGATGCCATAACAACTATGGGTGATTCATCAGTGCCTGGCTCAAAGGTGAGTTTCCATTTGGTCGATATATCTGCCTTAGCAACAGGGATGGTGTCATCTTTGTGCAGCACATTTGGGCTGATGTTTGTGTGTGCAGAGATGCAAACTATGCTGTATCCGCTTCCTTGAACTCCATCATCTTCTTTTTTTGGACGCCTTATCCCGACTACAATAGTTAGTTAGTTTGAGAAGTTAGGGCACTCAAATTGAGCGGATCACTATGGGTGTTATGTTTCATCAAACATTTGACATCATTTGTGAACAAGGTGACACCAATTTCACAACTTTCATCAGAGACATGTGCACTCATGCGAAACCTGGAAACTAATTTCTGTTAGAAAATATCATAGCTATCAACTTGCACCTCAAATGATAAAATCTTTCAATTTCAAACCTCTTAACAGCCATGCCATTTTTCTGGCCACAACACATGCACTCGAAAGTAATCCCCTCTCCAGAATTTACTTCTGTTACAATAGTTACAGCTAATGACATGAAAACATGAAACGAGCCACTCACTAATATAAATTATGATATGCAAATTAGCCAAAGCCACCATTTCTACTAATTCAAATCCAACTGAGAACATACAGGATTTGTAATGATCGATAACCTTTTAAGTAGTCTCCCCACACAATGAAAGGACAATAGTTTAACAAACCACATAATCTTTACTGTGATGTTTCAGCAAAATAAAAAACAAAACAACCATCTAAACGGCCCATAAAAAACAATCCATTTATCTTTTTTGGTAAGGTTATACCTCACTAAAAGCAGTTTTTCCACAAAAAATTATCCATTTATCTTTTTTGTTAATCATATCTTATAATTAATCATATCTTATAAGGTTATACCTCACAAAACTCAGCATTTCAACAAAAAATAATCTATTTATCTTTTTTGTTAATCATATCCTACAAGGTTATACCAAAAAAAATCAGCTTTTCCAGCAAAAACAATCTATTTATCTTTTTTGTTAATCGTATCTTATAAGGTTATACCCCACAAAAATCAGTTTTTCCACAAAAAATGTACCTTTCACTTACACCTAAATTATAGCACCATATTTTACTTTTGGCTTCAGAATCGGCAATCACAAAGTCAACCAAACTAACCTTGTAAAAATATAAAACAAATTCCAGCAATGACAATGAACTAAAACCAAAGTATAGAATATTGCTATTAATGTTTGCCCAATTTCTCTAAACCATACGGAAAAGAAATTACCAGCCAAGACTGCTATCTAAACACCCATACATAATAATTACGGGGAATTAAGCCTTAGTTTTGCCAAATTAGTTTTGATACTTTTTAACAATCGCAGAGATACTTTTTAGTTCAAACCGGAAAGAAAACAAAGTCAGCACTCGGCAAAACCCCATAATGTTTTCTTTAATCAGGGAGATGAGGTTTTTCTCATATGGCCATTTTGAAAAAAATTCCCTTTGGGATGGAGAAAGAGGCGAACTACACCAAGCTATGAATAATAACCCTAAATCTTGTAGAGAACATTTTACTCAATTTTTTTCTTTAAATTCGCCCAAGGTTGTATTTTTCTTGGCGAAATTGGCACTCAAAGAGTCAAAGATACTCCAAAAAACTTAAAAGGAGAAGAGGGAGATACGAAACTTGCCTATTCAGCAGACAACAAACGGCAAAAAACACAGTAAAGAGACACATACCTCTTTTCTGATATATACAAATTGTGCTTGACGAAGGGGGTGGCTAATCCAAAAGTACATGCCCATCACTCTTCCCATACACAACACAGATCAGAGCGGACCGTGCACGGGCAATGATTCGAAACAGTGAAGGTGGAGAGAGAACTGTGACGAAGCCAACAGACGGAGAACAGTGATGAAATGATAAAAGGAGGCCGGTTAAGTGCAATGGAAACCAGGGCGGTATTTTTATTTGAGGAAGGAAAACTGGACTAAAAATCTTTGACACCGTAAGTTAGACACTTTATCTTTGCTTATATAATAAGAGACAAGTATAGTTAGCAGGTCCTTTTTCTGTCTTTTCCGTCTATGCAACTAACGGAAATATCTACGGCCCTCTTCTTCCTTCCATTATACGGAGTTGTTATCCCACCGCCCAAATAATCGCTCATGAAGGAAGAGCCGAAGACTACATGTTCTTCCAAAGGGACATGTTTATCTCTACGCATTTCGATCTTCTACATGCTCTCCACACAAGGTATTTTTATCACCCTCTTTCCATCCAAAACCAAATATTGTTACCTTAATATGTCTATCTGCTATTTCACTTTATTGAAATGCTGCTTCTGAATTAACAATAATGGCGATTTTAAGTTCCCCTTCATGTGCCTTTAGAAGAATATGTTTGCTCATGCCTACAAATTGTTTGTGAAAAAGCCGATTACAATGTTTTCTGCAACAATACTGCTTAATTGTTCATTTTTAAGAATGTGTTCTCTAATAATATAAAATCAGATCCAAAAAGGGCAAAGGAAAACATAGAAACATAACTTTTTTACAAAGACAACATACATACACCAGTGCACAAAGTTTCCAAGGTCCGCAGACACTTTCGGAGTCGATAGTTCAAACACTTATCTCTGCAGAAAATTTGAAAGAGAGAGAAGAGAGGAGAGATTCACTAACCTGTACAATACTACAGCTAAAATGCACGGCAGAAGGTAAAAAAAGAGTTTGTGTGCTTCCCTGCATCCGAAAGAACCTACAAGAAGGGTTGGGGAATGTTACAGGTCAACTGCCTGACACACTACTCTCCATGGTTATACTTGTACTCATAGTCCCCATTTTCTGGTGAATGGTGCATTGGGGTGTGGCCCGTATCACCCCTCCGATGGATAGATTGTAGGGGCATTGGTTGCGTCCCCCGCTGCTGCTGCATCATGAATTCATGATGATGAGGAGAGGGATTGACTGCTGACGGGAACCCCATACCAGGTGGCGGTGGCGAGACACCAACATGTGCAAGCATGTCATGTCGGTCTTCAATTCCCCTGTTATTGTGTCCTTTCTGTCCACCACAAATGTTCCAATAGACCAATAATAGCCTGGATTTGTCATGCAGCTGTCAAGGGACGGCCAACGCTGCCTCCAATGATTTCACCATCACTACTGCCAAGACATACGCTAAGTCCACCAGTTTTTCCTCCACGCCCATTATGCACGTATGATCCAGATAGTGAAAGGATGTCAAATCTCCCCTCATATGTAATATTACCTCCAGAAGTTGATAGTTGGGGCAGAGATGCACTAGACACTGCCCCAGATGCTGAGAGAATGTGGGCATAACTCACGCTTGCTTTGTTGCATGAAGGTCATTATTTTGTTGCTCACATCTTCTCCAGCAACGAGAATTTTGATATGAGGCGTGAACCCTTGCTCAACATCAACAATAGTAGCAAACTTCGAGGTTTTCAGAGTGTGCAAAGAAACACCGCTTCCTTGTCCGCTGGCGCCGCCTCCTTGTCCTCCGGCACCTCCCAACTGCACCTGATCCCTCTTCTTGGGCACCGAATTTGAAGCGGAAGCAGCAGAAGAAATCCTCTTTGCAGCAGCAGCTTGTTCAGGAGTTCCGTACTTTCTAGGCCTCCCGTGATTCTTCTTCACGGCCTCCATCAGTGGTGAGACAGTCAATGGAATCAAACCAGGGTAATTCATGAGAGACGCAGAAGCCCCAGCTGCGGTGGAGGAGTTGTTGATATCAAAGCTTGGCTTAATTCCATTAGTGGCCACGCGGCCCACGCCTGTGACGTTCGTAGTCGTCGTGGGTGTCGTGGAGGACAGGTTCACTGTTTGGTGGTGGTAGTAAGAGCTCAGCCCAGTGCTTTCACTCGGCTTAATAGGCGGAGAAATCTTGGATTTGGGGTTTTCCACATAGCTTATACGTAGTACTTTATTGGTCTGTACTATGTATGCATGTGCATGGATAGAAGATTAAAAAACACACCACCTTTTCGCAGTTAGCATCTACTAACATATACAGAGTAGTAGGATGAACAAAAAAACTAATTCAGAACAACTGAACAACACAAATAACAGCAATTTCCTTTGAGAGCAAAGATAAAATCTCTTACAACTATATTTATACACAGTATTAGGTAGTGGGCAAATAGAGGGTGTGTTTGTTTTTTTTTTGAAGGAAGAGGGTGTGTTTGTTAGTCTAAAAGAAATTATTTTCAATGTACAAACCCATCTATATACAAGCAAATTTTTGTTAACGTCTTCACAAAATTTATTTTTTTGTATACAACAACAACAACAACATCCAAGCTTTAATCCCAAAAGAATTTGGGGTCGGCTAACATGAATCAATCGATGATATCGATGCCAAACAGAGAAGGACAAGAAAGGGAAGAAAAAAAAGTAAGATAAAACGAATAAAATAAAGATAAATAAAAGATAACAATAACACAAGAATATAAGAAAAATAAAAGATAAAAAAAGAGCATAAAAAAGCTAGAATATAAAAATAACATAAGAATAAACAAAGGTAAGGACGATAAACGATAAAAGAAAAAACTATTTTTTTGTATACGCCATATAAATTGCTAATTCTTTCTAATGTTCTGCTCTATGAAATAAAACCTCTATTTTACATTTCATGTGTATTAACTACAAAAGAAATTAAAAAAACTCCTTTAGTATGAATCTATGAGTTTCTTGTCACTATTGGAAAAACAGAGAAGCAACCAAAATCAATTTTTTTCTGGTGCGATAAAATGTTATGATCAAGTAATTGTCCTCTATTAAAAAAGAGTACAGACTTTAATGGTTATATATTTCACAAAATTTGCCAACTTTTTTTAATTTATTTTCTAATTATGTAGCCAAAATTCCTTTGGATTGTCACCAAATTGAATCATGGAACATTGGTTAACATCCTATTGCATTAGATGAATAGCTGCAATGAAACACTTCAAATGAAGGAGTAAATTTTCAAAGTATAACCTGTGGTTATAAAAGGAACTACTGTAAAAAGTAAGGTACTTAAACTTTATCTTCAGAAAGTGAATCCATTGAGTTATACTCCCTCCATCCGATAAAATGCTTTCCACTTCTATTTGGGCTATCCCAAAAAAAAATCTCATTTTCCTTTTTGGAAAGTTTTGTGTGGCTAACATTTATTTACATTTTTCTTAATCAACTACAACCATACAGTTCCACTTTATGATCAGTTTCTTAAACTTTGATCCAAGTCAAATCGGGAAGAATTTTATGAGACGGAGGCAGTATATCTTACATTTATTGTTAATCGGTTGACTCTCGGATGAAGCAGATGTGCTTGAGATCACCTTATGCACTAATGAAGTGCATATAAATTGCTGAGTTTGATCAACATTAATGATAAAGTCAGAGACTTCACTTTCAAGTTGCTGTTAATTCCATGATTCAACATTCCCAGGTAGACATAAAGAAAAACATATAGGTCTACTATGTCTCTCTTTGCCAACAAAACAGCCAGTTAATGATGTTGTTTAGAACAGAATTTGATGAGAGAACAAAGCTGTTGCGCTAAATACAAAAAACAAAGCTAGGGAAAAGACACCACTGTTAACTTTTTTGTATGTTATCGTCCCTTGAATACAATAGTAGGAATCTAAGAAAGCTGAACTTACTAAGATGCGCATAGAGGTTTATTATTAAGTTTTAGTACTACGTATTTTCTAATAATATTACCCCTTATGACTGTCCCAGTGTGTTGCATAGTAGCTACAAAACAGCCTCAACTTTCATTAGATAAAATTATGAAGAATCAATTCTGATCTACTGTCAATGTCTGTTACCCTCTTATTTGTTACATCTAGCTAATAAATTAATGAAAAAAAGACCCCATAGAAATGATAAAGATCTCTGGTAATATACATGGTATGTGAAAGCTGGTTATCTGAAAAAGCCAATGGCTACAACCCCATGGTGTGAGTTAGTTGGTCTCTGGTACACAAGTGTTGGTATAACCACATATAACTAAAAGTTAATAATTGTCAGAATGTCAGTAAAAGATTCAATAGGATACGTGTGTTAATAAATTTCACCTAAAAAAGTACTATGTACTACTTATGTTAGTAGTTGCATGAATTTCCAACGGAAACTCCATTAGTTTTTAGTACAATATAGTTCACTCATTTGAAACTACACTATCATTTGGAATTAAACTTTCCTGGATTTTGAGCTACAATTAGCCCAACTATTGCTACTATATGAATATCCTTCATCTCTTGTAGAGGACTACTACAATCCTTTTATATTTTAATTGTTACCCGTCCGGCCGTCCTAAATAACTCCCACATTATCCTTTAAACAACACTCCGTAAGTTTTAATTGTATTCTAACTTTTTAAGATGAAAATTATTTTGATTATATTATTTGAATTCCTCACTTTTTCAAATTTTCTTATATATTACACATTTTTAAGTAGTTATGTTGGGCACCTGTCGCACGCAGTGCGTACACCGCTAGTATATATAAGGAGATTACTATACTCCCTCCACAGGGTTATAAATATATACTAGCAGTCATTAAACTGTATGTTTTAAAATAAATAAAAATCAATAATATAATTATATCAAGTATAAAATCAACACAATTCATATAGTCCAAATCCTTGGTCTCAATTCTGTAAAATAATGACAACATTACCTCCATGAGATTAGTTCTAAAAACAATGTGGTGCGGCGCACTCACGAGCTCACTGTGAGTGTCTGAGGAATGCTAGCTCATCATCATGATAAGGCATCAGGTAATCACACAAAGTATGTCAGGAGATCAAAGCGTATCACGCAATAGAACAAGTGATGGCATGGATAGTCACACTGATATTGGGAGGAACGTGATGATGGATGCACTAGAAAAGTGTGCAAGCAGCTGCTTCCATGATACATCAGATTGGTAGGAAGGTGAAAGGAGGTTTCCATGAACTCCCATCCATCCAACCACAATCTGACCCGCTCCAGTAGTGAAGAAGAAAGACTAATAGGGTCAGCAAATTAATATAAATTATGATAAAGTACAAGTCTTGAAAAGAGAAACCCTCAGCAAGAAATATGGAGCATTATTACATCCAAATCTTGCAAAAAGCAATTGATATATCAGAGTACGCCATAATCCATGAATGGATTCACGCCATGACGAGTGATGGAAGTTGTTTGACACCTTCCATCATATCAATGCCCAGCCCACTGTCCCAAAAGTGAACAATCTTAAACCATCAGAAGTCATGGATTACCACAATTATCATTGATGTAGGCTCTCATTTGTCTACCAGAAGACGAAACTTCACACGTTTTTTAACACTCCCCACCCTCTCATATCCAATCCCAATTTTACTATGCATCAATTTTATAGCTAAATCTGCATTCCCAGCTTTCCTTAGGGCAGTTATCAAAACCGTACGAACCCTGCCCGGAATTTCCCTACCACGGTCAACGATTCCATCAGCTAACTTGCAAGCCTCCACAAGACGGCCCGCTTTGCACAGAACATTAACCATGTCTTCAAAAGCAGTATCTAGAACAATACCCATCGGTGCCAGCTCATCCAAAATCTTACAAGCCCTTGCCACCTTACCGGAAAGACAAAGCCCAGTTGAAAGAGCCCTAAATGAAGCGGCTGTTGGAGTTATTCCCTTGTCAATCATCTTATTCCACAGTTTCAATGCCTCTTCATTGCGGTGGTCACTAAACAAACCACTGATCAACATTGTGTATGTATAAACAGTTTGATCACAACCTTCTTGTTCCATTCTATTGAAAAGCATAAAAGATTCATCCACCTTTCCAGCTTTAGCTAGGGCATCTATTAGTGCATTATAACAGTAAGAATCACGAGGGCACCCCTTTTCAGCCATCTCCTCAAAGAGCTTTTTAGCCTCGTCCACTCTCCCCGCCTTCCCAAGACCATCAATTAGACTTGAATAAAGCTTGGCATTTACACCCTTATTATTATTCTGACAATACTCAAGCCATTGTAAGGCTTCTTCCAATCTACCACACTTGGACAGGCCATTCACAATAACTCCATACGTAAATTCATCGGGTTCAATCCCTTCATCCTTCATTCTGTCAAAGAGCCTCATTGCAGCTTCCAAGTTTGAATTTTTCATGTATGAATCAATCAAGGCCGTATAAATCGCAGGATTAGGTCTACAACCCTTCCTAAACATGTTATCTAAAACGGCATGTGCTTCCAGAGACTTACCATCTCTACAAAGCCCGCCAATTACTAAACTATAAGCATGTGATGGAACTTCCAGCGCTTTTTCCACCATTTCATGATAAAGCCCCAGGCATGTGTTATGATCTCTCTCTGAATAGCTTGCCTGGATGAGGGTCATATATGTAATCTTATCAGGTACCACATTTCTAACCTCCATGTCTCTAAACTTCTCCATTGCTTTTTGCACCTTGCCGGTCTTGCAATACCCTTTGATCATTGTATTATATGTGACAATATCAGGTTGGATTTTCCCACTTTCCATAACTTCAAAAACTTGCTCAGCAGACTCAATAAAAGTAGCATTCACTAAACCATTCAGTAGAAAATTATAAGTATACAATGTAGGTTCAATCCCACACTCTTTCAAGCCTCTCCATATCCACAAAACCTCCTCAACCATCCCCACACTTCCAAGACTCCTGACCAACGAATTAGCCCCAGACAAGTTCATCTTAAAATCACTGTCTTTGAAGTCCTTAAAAACATCTCTAATTCTATTTGCATCACTGCAAGCTGATAAGATAGCTATCAAATACACATAGCATTCAAAACTATGGGCATACCCTTTTTGCTTGCCAGCCCAAGTGAAGAACCGATAAGCAGTAAGAGAATTTTTAGGAAGCTGGTCTGAGTTCAGCACGAATGCAACAAAATTGGGTGATAGCTTGATGAGAAACTTGTTGCAGTAAGCTGTCAAGTTTCCCTCCATCTGAGGCGAATTGTCTAAAAGATTCAAAATTTGGGACACCAAAGGAGAAGGCTGGATATTTTTGTGGTCGGTGATAACGTCGGAGAGGTCTGTAAAAGGTTGCACCCACTCAGGCGGAGGAAGTTCTGTGCTTGTAGATACCCATCTTGGGGCCGGAGGGGAATGGAAAACAGGGTACGATTTCGAGAAATATGGAGAGGGTAAAGCGAGGAAACTGGACTTTCCAGTGCTGTGTTTGACGATTGCAGCAAAGATGTGAAATGTTTTCCTCATAGTGAGTGATTATTGGAGCAGAAATTTCGGTGCTGCACTAATTCATCCGCTAAGCTGCTACCGATTGAGAAACTCCAATTTGAATAGAAGGGCTCACGGACCAAAACTCCGGTGAAAAGCGTCCTCGAGCAACAAGGCCGGTGCTAGAATGAGGGGCCGGTGCTGGAATGGTAGACCGTAACCAAACTGCTGCCGCTGCCCTTCGGTCAAAAATGGTCCTTTGTTCCAATAATGGTAATATACTCCCTCCTTTCCTAAATAAACTTCCAACTTTCCTTTTTCGTCTGTTCCAATTAAAACTTACACTTTCCCTTTTTGATAAAGAATTTGTGGTTCACAACATTTCTTACACATTTCTCTCTCCTCTGCACAACTCTCCACCACACAATATCCACTATCTTAAACTTTGTGTCAAACTCATTTGGAAGTTAAAATGGGAACGGAGGTAGTACTTTAAATATCTTGTACATGTATACTCGTATTTTATATCTGATATGGTTTGAGACGAAAATAGTTCAAAAGAAAACATTTTAATGGTAATAAATTACAGATAATTTGCCGATAATTTGCTTTAAAAGTGAGAATAAAGTAGAAATATATGATTGTGATTGAGTAAAAAAAAGGTAAATAAATATTAGTCGCACAAACTTTCCAAAAAATGGTAAGTGAGAAGAACTTTTTAGATATCCCAAAATAATAAGTTGGAAAAATTTTATGGGACAGAATAGGTAGTTAAATAAAGTAATTTGGATAAAAAAAATGAAAGAGAAAATTTAGAAAGTAAGGAGATAAGATGGGAAGGAAAAATTGTGAGACTTGACATGTAATGAGTAGGAAAGATAAATTTGACTAAATGTGTAATTAAAGAGAGTAAATTATTTTCACAAAGACTAAAATAAAATCAGAACCTTTAAATGAGACATCCAAATAAGAAAGAGAGATTTCCCAAAAAAGGAGTAAATGGAGTTTGAAATTCCAAAATATGACTACTATATTTTTATTTCCGAAATATGACTAACATGTTCTCCCTTCAAAACCTCTGTTCTGAGAGACGGCACTACTCTTCAACACATTATGGGGAACATTTGGGGTTGAAATCTGTGTTTTCAATCGAGAGAGAAACTCCTTGCTGCCGTTCATCTTCTACTGCTATGCAGTGACTAGCTTCGTATTTCAAGAGAGAATCTTTAAAATGTGTTTGTATTGTTTTCCTATGGTAAGTGTATGAAATTGGGTGAAAGAAGAAAATGGTTGGAGGGTGTATAGCATGCTTGTCACGGCGTCGCCAACTAGGCGTCATGGCAATGGAGAAGGGTCGACGGGGGAGATTGACTCACCGAAAGAAGGCTAGTCGCCTCTGGCGTCGTTCAGGCGTGAATATGTCGTCCAGGCGTAGTCTTGGTGTCTATGGGTGGACCCGGGCTGGTTCCGGGTTGGGTCGGGCCAGTTTGATTCAATGTTTTTTTTTGTTTTTTGCTTTTCTAATTAACCCCCGACCCCCCTTCACCCCCCACTAGGGGGGAGCAAACCCGACCCTACCCGAACGACCCGATCGGATTTATCCGATTTTTGGAATATGGGTCGGATTAACCGACCCGAATGTGACCAACCCGAACCGGAAATGGGAGTTGGGCGGATAGCGGGTAGCGGGTAGGGTTTCTAATATTCCTATCCGACCCGCCCGACAACCCGATTCATATATGCCCATATATATAGTACATATTAGACATTTAGACTGCTTCCCTTAACCCTAATCGTTGAGCGCCTCTTTCAGTCTTTCCTTCGAACCCCAAACGCCACCTTCTCACTTCCGGATTTATCTCTGACTTCTCTCTATCTCTCTGAAATTTGATTCTCTCAGACTTCATCGTCATTGCCACCATTGTCGTCTGAGCCACCGAGCCAGTGAGCCGATTGAGTATTTCACTTCTCTACTCCTCTCTTCGTCTCCAAGTGCTCGCCTGCTCGGTGCGTATTTCTTCTGTGGTGGTGGACTGGTGGAACCGTGGAAGCCCATAGTCTGAAACTCTAACTCTGTAAGCATCATTGAGGTAGTGAGGTATAAAATACTTATGCATGTTCGAATCATTGTTTAATGAATCTGTGATGATGAATGCATGATTTTTTAGTGGAAGTATTCATATTGAGACTATGACATTCGTAATCCCTTGTGATTGTTGACATGTGAATCTAATATATGATGTGTTTGTTGGCTGTTTGTCCCTTGTGATGTTTTTACTGATGCACATTCTGGCATGCTGGTATGCTGCTGGTTCTCCCTGGCCCCTTGTCCCTGGGCTATTTGCATGGTAAAACAGTTTCAGAATTCTTATAACAGTTGGTATTGTTATTTTTCCTTCACTACTGAAATTATGGTTTAGGATTGGTATTGCTCTTCCAGTTCATAACTTATATGTTGTATCTGAAATAGTAGCAGATGTCCCTAAATCCTATGTGAATGAAAATAAACATTCTGAGCCCAGAACTTCTACCATGTAGATTTTGATACTGGTATTATGATGTCACAGTGATCAGTGGGGTAATGGCTATGATGAAGCTTCCACTCCTTCTGTATGGTTTAGGATTGGTATTGCTCTTTCAATTCATAACTTATATGATGTAACTCAAATTGTAGCAGATGCCCTTAAATCATGTGTGAATGAAAATAAGCACTATGAGCCATCTTCTGTATTGTTTAACTGTCTGGTTTGTCTCATTTTGGTGTCACCGTAAATATTTATTTATATGAACAACCTGTGTTCATTTCTAGAAATTGATACTTGTAATATGATTCCACTGTGACGATGATGAAGCTTCCACTCACTACTGAAATTATGGTTTATGATTAGTATTGCTCTTTCAGTTCATAACTTATATGGTGTAACTGAAATTGTAGCAGATGCCCCTAAATCATGTGTGAATGAAAATAAGCACTCTGAGTCTCTGAGCCATCTTCTGTATTGTTTAACTGTCTGGTTTGTCTCATATTTTTGTCCATGTAAATATTTAAGTATATGAACTACTTGTGTAAATGTGTTCATTTGTAGAATTTGATACTTGTCTTTGCTGTATTCAGATGGAAATGTAAATGTGTGGAGCTGTGGACTTGTGGAACCTCAAGTTGCGGTGTGTCAGTGTATAAATGTAAAAATCTGCCTATCTTGGATTATTAACACTTTAATATGTAATATTGTTTTGCCGTGATACTTGTTTTTGGATGATGTAATCTATATTATTGTCAAGAACATTTGGTACTTGTATGTTTAGATGTTAGTATGCTAACATTCTGGTTTTGTACTGAAATTTTGTAATTGCTAACATTGATTGTTACATTACTTATTAAGTTATTTAAATGTCAAGTACATTGTAATTTGTTTTTACTTCAATTCAAAAAAAAGTTTCTAATTTTCACATTTCACTGGTTTTAAGTAAAATCTATAGGTTTTGAAATATCCGATACAACCCGATATCCGAACCGAACCCGATCATATCCGAACTGAACAATATCTGATTTTTTTTGAAAAAATTAACTAGGGTCGGGTATCCATATAATAGGTCCGAAACCCGATAGGGTCTTTGATTTCCCAACCCGCCCGACCCGAACCCGCCCGACGCTCCCCCCCTACCCCCACACCCCAAACCCCCCCAAAACACTCAGCCCTACCCAAGGAAAACCAAAAAAAATTGAAAAAACAAAAAAAAAGGTCGGACCGGGCCTGACCCGGCCCAATCCCCTAACCGGGCCTAGGCCCGGAACCGGTTATGTCACGCCCCGGACCTAGCCGGACACGTCAACAACCCGCCGT